GTAAAGCTAGCTAGCCTAACAACGAATGGCGCACCAACCATGAAATGAAATGGTTTTGATGCAAAGCTACTTCCAAAAAATAACAGAGACTGATGCTAAGTTTAAATTTCCTCACTTTCAGTGCATCATTCACCAAGAAACAATTAAAGTTCCAACATGTCATAAGACCGGTTTCAGTCGCTCTCAATTTTATTTGTACCCATAGTTTAAATAAAATTTTCAATGTTTCTGGATGGCATTGGACACGAATTAGATTGTGTTCCGCTGGCTCTCATGTCATAAAGTATTGAAGAGATTTTTTGCACTGCGTGAGGAAATTGTATTGTTTCTGAACATGAAAGGTGAACCTGTTGAACATTTCCAAACTGACTAATACGTTCGAGATTTGGCATTGGCAGTTGATTTCACTGGTCACCTGCTAGACTTGATTCGAAACTTCAAAGTAAAGACAAAATTGTCACAACTGCGTGTAATCATGTGAAGTGCTTACAAGCAAAATTACAACTGTGGATAAACCAAATATGAAGATGAAATCTTGTTCACTTCTCAACGCGTCAGGAACTAAAAAGATTAAATACGGCTGCAACATTTGGTAAAAATGTCTGTTATCTTTAATAGATGCTTTCAATGACCGTTTTCGTGATTTCATTTCATACAAGCAAGAATTTTCGTTGTTGATTCTGAAATTGCTGCTGGTAATGTGCAACTAGAGCTGATAGAATAGCAGTCAGATTCTTTGTTGAAATTGAAGTATATAGAATTGGCTGTGCCAAAATTTTACAGTTATTTACCCTAAATGGTATGTTGAATTGCGGAAATTTGCAGCCAGAATTATTGCTGTTTGCAAGCACTTATCTCTGTGAGCAGTTCTTTTCCATAATGAAAGCTACAAAAGCACCTCACAGTTCGAGATTATCTCATCAATATTTGTCGACAGTGATGAAAATATCAGTGGAAAACAAACTTCAACATGACATTAATAAGTTTGTATCCTATAAAAGATGTCAAGCATCAGAACAAAGAAAATAAATAATGCGTAATCATATTAATTTTTAATTACCAAATAGTACTACAAATTTAGCTAAATTAGGGTCAGGTATGCCATTTATTATTGTATTCTATTGTATTGTTTCTAACTTACATAAACTTGTAGGCTGTTTTGCAACTGATTTTTGGCTGCAGCCTCTCAGGTCATAGTAAGTTTTTATGCGGCCCATACACCTTAATGAGTTTTACATGCCTGATCTAGAGTATAATGATCTAACTGCTAGAATAATTCCCTGCCAAGGAATTAAATAGCTACCAATGTTTGTAAGGTGTTTGGCAAGAGGTAATTTATCAGAGATAAATTATTAATTGCTTTATAGCAAAATATGTTTGTGAATAATTAACACACATTCTAGTCTACATTTAATCCGTGTAAATGCACTGGATTTAATTTGTACAAATACATTGGCCGCTGAGGCATATAAATGTTTATACTAGATCTAGATAAAATGATGACTTGGGATATTTTATAAATATCTAGTCATTAAATAAAAGTTTCACCAAGTCAATGTGTTGAGATGATAAAAAATTTACCAGCTCATGTGTACAGAGTTAGATAAATTAATAAAGATCATGCAATGACATAAATAAAACCTACTTACATGTGAATATGGAAAAAGTTTAATTAAAATAAACTTAATAGGAAACAAATAGTGACTAACACATACTGGTACCACTCAACTCCAATAGGAAAATAGAAAGTATAAAATCTGGAGAGAAGGAACACGTCCGCCCACCTGATGAGCCCTGAGTGAAATGACCGAAGATCTCTGACCATGTGGTTTAGAGATGCCAGGGATGGTGGTGAGGGAGAGATTTGGAATGTTCCTTCCAGAAAGAAGTGCAAGTATAAGAAATGGTGTAAGAAACAGAGTTGGGCAGGAGAAAAGAAAATGCACTTATTGAAGTATTGCATGACGATAAGGGAAGAGAGGAGGGAAGAGAGACACACATCAGGGTGTCCTGCGGAGATTAATATCTCCATGTGAACCTCTTCACTCGTGAAGCTGAGGAGTCTTTACAGTCAACAGGTAACCATGGCCCTTCTTCGTCCCCCTTGTCTTTCCCTGTGCCGAGGGGGCTGAGTAGGGGAGGGAGTGGAGGTAAAGGTAAAACTCTCTGTGTGATGAGCCATAGGTGGAAGGGGGAGGGGTAGATCTCAACATGTATCTGGAGTTAGGGGAGATAATGTTTGGCAAGGGGTTTGAGTTCATTTTGGTTAAGTTTTAAGTACAGCTGGGGGCTTTAAATAAAATGAGAAAAAAACTATTAAAAATGGGAGGGGGGGGGGGGAATAAATGAATTAAATAAATGCTGTTAACATGAATGATAACTAATAGGTGAGCAAACAACATTCCATCACAGTACTTTCAAACCACACATTTTTTATAATACATTTTCTAAAGCATCTCCAGGTTATGATCATTGATACCTACTTAGCTTTATGGCCTTAACAGTAAAAAAAAATTTCCAGAAAATTTGCATCTACAAAAATATTTACAAATATTGCAAACCAATAAGTTGTTTATTAAGTCATCAGACTAGTTATACGTTAACGTATCATTTGTGCTCTATTATTAGGTGCCTGAAATGACATCTGTTTATACAAAGCCAGGTGAACCTTGGTTTCTACATCTGCTTTTACAGGCCATTGGAATCTCAGTAGGTACTACTCTGGTGCTAATCATCTGTGTCTCTGAAGAATCTCGGACATTGTCTCAATCATAATTGGTGGAAATATTAATATGAATTAAAAACAATCCATTTAAATTTTGACAATCCAAGTTTTAGATCTGATTTATCTCTCTATTTATTGACATTAGTACCATCTAGTCATCCTCACTTTTTCTTAGCAAACTATTTATTAATAGCAGTTTGCTTTAGCTGGTAATGGGCTTATAAGATTTTTTGAAAATTCTTTCCGGTGCATTGCATGTTAAGTTGTTTTTTTTTTGCTGACATTTTTTTGTTGTTTTCATTTTTTTTCATTTTTTTTAAGATTTCTTTTGAGAAAATATAATATAAAGTATATGTAAAAATCTTTTAGTTTTACTGTGTGCCTGTCCTGTATATCATTTTGTTTCTAGTTATTTATTAGATTTAAATTATTTAATGTTCACTTAGCATTGGATAAAAAGACATAAAAAGACAAAAATATTGGTGTATCCTTTTTCCAAAGTATCTTTCCTATTAAATTATTTCCAAAGTTTCTCTCCTATTAAATTATTTCCAAAGTATTTCTCCTATTAAATTATTGCCTAAGTATATCTCCTATTAAATTATTTCCTAAGTATCTCTCCTATTAAATTATTGCCTAAGTATATCTTCTATTAAATGATTGCCTAAGTATATCTCCTATTAAATTATTTCCTAAGTATCTCTCCTATTAAATTATTGCCTAAGTATATCTTCTATTAAATGATTGCCTAAGTATATCTCCTATTAAATTATTTCCTAAGTATCTCTCCTATTAAATTATTGCCTAAGTATATCTTCTATTAAATGATTGCCTAAGTATATCTCCTATTAAATTATTTCCTAAGTATCTCTCCTATTAAATTATTGCCTAAGTATATCTTCTATTAAATGATTGCCTAAGTATATCTCCTATTAAATTATTTCCTAAGTTTCTCTCCTATTATTTCCTTAATGTCATTTTTTGTCACTCTCCACAGTCAGTTGTTTTTCTAACACACTTGTGTGTGTATTTGTTATCAAAAGGGTACTTTGTTATCATGAGGGTAATTTTATTTTTGAAAAATGTATTTTTTGAGTATCATGACAATTGATTGTTTATACTTAGATCTCTACTAATGCATTCAATGAATCTTGTTCTCTGTCTCAACTTTCCTTATACTCTCTATGGACTTTAGTTGCTGCTATAACATTTTGTTTAGTGAGTGCCATTTTATTGAATACTTTCATTATATATCTTCAAATCAGTATTCAGAACAAATCTGATGGGTTTTCCCAGAGATATTTTTAGTCTATTTTCATTGACATAACTTTAATTTTTTTTCTGAGAATTAAACTTTTAAACCTTTAAGTTCTGCTGGTAATAAATTGAAATGTACTTTCTCTCAGTGAAGTTGTTGGCTGAGAATTCTTCTCTCTACTTTATATTGACATTTATTACATTTATTATTAGTAAATAAGTTGAAAATTCCTCAATTTGAAATGTCCTCTCCACACTTCATATTGACAGTTTGAAGGTCAAATTCATTCCATTCATTTATTAATTGACTGATATTTCAAAGAAGTTGAATTGTATTTATGCAATTTTTGTCACAATATTTTGATCATGAAATACTTCATTCAGTTTTCTTAAATGCCTTTACAAATGACAAGGTGATATGAAATCAAATCCAACTCAAACAAATATTTTTTTTTTTTTAAATGCATTTTTTTTATCAAAGTATTGTTTTATATTTATTGATTACCGGTACCCATAATGCAACTTAACAAGACCAGATAATGTTCCATGCTTATATCTATGATACTTAAAGTAGATTGATTTACCTTACATTTAGAATGCTCTGGATTTCTGTTGCTTCTGTGACATTAAAAAAGAATTGTTGCTATTGTATCAAAGAATATTTTTTTTACTAATGTATTTGCCCTAGTATTATATTAATGCTTCATGATAGTAACCACTGTATATGATTATTGCATTGTGATGCTATCAAAATTAAATGCAAGAAAACACTTTATTATTCAATGAAACCATCTCAAGAAATCCTAACTCAAAACTGTTGCCAATAAGACTACTACATCATCAGTGTTTCTAAAGACAATGGAAAGATGCAAGGTGTATTTTATATGAATGGGACGCCAAGCTGTGCCCTAAAATATTTTGGCATACATTTCTTAGATTTAGTCTGAATTCCTCTTTTTCTTTTAGGTGGCCTTTTTTTTAATAAAAAATTTTCTTTGAGAGCTTCCTACCAGCCCCCCCCCCCCCCCCCCCCTTGTTTTCAATCCTGTCTGTAGATTGAAACTTTCAGAATGTCTGAGAACTTTTTTTTTTCTCTTTTATAGAAGCTAACAATTGAAATGAAAATTAATGTTTAAAAGAATGAAATAAATGGCTATAAGATCTACAGGTTTACCATAGTCTTACATCGTTCTGATGCATTCCATATAAATTACTGATATTTAAGTAAGTCAAAACATTACAGTTACTGTACTTATTCAATTTATAATCTTCATGTGTTGAACATTATTTGTTATTTTAGAGCTGCATTGTTTATGATGAAGGATAGTTTAATGTAACAGTCAAAACGTTTTTCTTTAGTACAGGTACTGGCATTGAAAGATAAGTTGCCAGTTGTTGTTTTGTTTTTTTACATTATTATCATTAAGTAGGTACACAAGTACATTGATACCAGTACATACTTCTATTACAGATGCCAATAAATTTTTTTTTTTGACATTTTATTTGAAACCCTTTTTTTTTTTCTACTTTGACTTATAGTTGTCAATACATTTATGTCATTAATAATCGCTCTCCAACTATTGAATCAGTTACAATTGACTGCTCTTGTGCTGTATTGCCCTACAACCAGGAAGAAATGTGGTGAAGTTAACAACGAAGTAGTACACAAGATCTTAGAATGTGTTTTAATTTCAACTTGAAACAAAGTCTTTATTTTAATCCTCCAAATCTGTTGAGTTCTTTGTTCTTGTACTTAAAGGGGCTGGTGAGAAGATTTGTACAGCTTTTCTTTTCTCTCTTGCACTTTACAAAGCAGGAGGTTTTGGTTTTTGTTGTTTGATTTATTATGACAATATTTTCAAATGTCACTTTTACTTAACCGTTTAGTTTTCAACATTTTGATTAAAGAACTTTTCAATGAAGATCTAGAGTTTTTTTTTTTTTAAATGTATCATTGTCCCCTTTCTAGATTACAATCTTACTTACGTATCTACTTAATAATTCAAAATATAGTCAGTTTATTGAGAGCTTATAAATCCCACACATGTAAATCACATTCACAGGAGTCGTTCTGTTGACCAGTAGCTGTTGCAAGGTAAAGACACGGAAATTTATCTGCAATAGCAAGAAGTTCAATCTAGTCTTGGGCTAAAATGTAAGCCTGATTCAGACCTCCAACAACTGTTTCGTTTTACATGTTTTGTATTTGTAGACATTTGACTTTGCCGTTCTCTTTCAAATTCTGACAAGATTCTTCTTTAGATTCATTTCTTTCTCATCCAACAGGCCTTCCTGGTAAGCAGTTTAGTATAGCTACACGTTTAGATTCTAGTACAGTTACACGTTTACATTCTAGAATAGCTACACGTTTAGATTCTAGTATAGCTACACGTTTAGATTCTAGTACAACTACACGTTTAGATTCTAGTATAATTACACGTTTACATTCTAGTATAGCTACACATTTAGATTTTAGTATAGTTACACGTTTTGACAAAGTCAAGTGGTCCTAGCATCAAGCAACTTAAAAGGCAAAGTATTTTTTTTTTCAATATCAATGTGACGTACATAAAACAAACACAATAAGCTGATAGCTACACATTAATCATTTATTTTTATACGACACGCATTTTTTCCCAAGTCTTTCTGTTTGAATGTGAAGACCAAGATGTCTGAAGTGGTCAATGAAGTAGCAGTAGCTTTCAGTACAGTCTAAATGTTTGATCGTTTTTTCATCTAGAGAGTTCGTTATGCATTGCCAAGGTGTTCGAGGTCTGCTAGTAAGATTGTCCAATAGCTAATCAAAAGAAAATATAAACTTACATTAAAAACAAAATGTGATTGTTACCCCAAGTCCCATTGACTTAAAAGCACATATAAAAAGGAATTCAATAATTAATGAAGTGATCATTCTGATGTCTTAATAAAATGTGTCATGCAGCAAAGGTTTGTTGTGAGAAATTTCCGTTTGATAGGAGAATGAAAATAAGTTGTCCAAAGAAATGAGTCGATTTGTTCGTTTATGACTATAATGATCGGGTCATTACAAAAAGATGCAAAAACCTATTAAGAAAAAGTCGTGTAAGTTTACAGATTATCAATGGTGGCAGTTTCCATAGAAGTGAAACGTTTACAAAGTGAACCGTCAGCCAACTCTTCCATGGGACGTGACATGATGAAAACGATTTTGTTACATGAAGTTTTAAAGTGTTGGCTAGTATTCATTTCATATCATCTAATATATATAAAGTAGAAGGTAATGAGTGTGTATGTCCCGCACAGAAATCAAAACCGTTTGACCAATCTAAATAGAACTTGGCATAAATGTTCCTTAGATTATAGAGGAGACCGTAGTATATGTTTAATGTCTTTCCCACAACCGGAAGGCTCGATGGTAGTCTAGAAATAAAAAAAAAAAATCTAAATTTATCTCTCTTAAAGAATGAAACTTTTTAACAAATCGGGTCCGTTTTCCCAGTAAGACCAGTAAGTTCTATTAGATACCAATATGTCGGCTAAACTGGTAAACCTATTTTCCCAGTAAGTTACATTTGATATCAATATGTGTCGGCTAAAGTGGTAAACCTATTTTCCCAGTAAGTTACATTTGATATCAATATGTGTCGGCTAAACTGGTAAACCTATTTTCCCAGTAAGTTACATTTGATATCAATATGTCGGCTAAACTGGTAAACCTATTTTCCCAGTAAGTTTTATTTGATATCAATATGTGTCGGCTAAACTGGTAAACCTATTTTCACAGTGATTTCTATTTGATATCAATATGTGTCGGCTAAACTGGTAAACCTGTTTTCCCAGTAAGTTCTATTTGATATCAATATGTCGGCTAAACTGGTAAACCTGTTTTCCCAGTAAGTTCTATTTGATATCAATATGTGTCGGCTAAACTGATAAACCTGTTTCCCCAGTAAGTTCTATTTGATATCAATATATGTCGGCCCGGGCCTGGAGCCCCTTAGGCGGGGGGACAGTAGTAAGACTACTGCTCTTTGGCAAACTCCTGCAGCCACCTGTCCCCAAATTGTGATGGCTCGCCATCCCTTTGGACCCGGTCAGTATGGAAGAGAGGCGTGTGCTGACGTGTGGGCAGCCCAGCACTCGCAAATTTACCGCCCAGGCTTTCCCCCAGCAATGGAGGTCACTCCATCTCTGTTAGCAAAGGGAAAAGATCGTCTCTCGAGACGTAAAATGCCACAGATATGTCGGCTAAACGGGTAAACGTGTTTTCACACTTACTTCCATTCTTATGACAAAATATTTTTAAAATGTTAAGGGAACATTCTCCATGTTTGACATAGATCTTAATCCTATCCACTAGATCAGTGATGGCCAACCTTACTTGTCCTGCGGACCATTTTAAGCTCCTACACTCGTGTCGCGGGCCACGAAAAGATACAAAAAACGAGATGAAATTAACCTTAAACTATTTCATTAGAAGCTCGTGTATGTAAAACGCCTAGTTTGATAATCTTTTATTAGCAGATCAAAGCAAGAATGCCGTCAAATTTGTTTCATTATACCCAGGGCCGGTTCTACAGTTTGCGGTGCCCTATGCGAAACGGATTGCGCGGGGCCTAGTCTGGATAGGGATAAGAATGACGGATTGAAATTACTAAAGAGCCTCCCGTGTATGTTACTATTAATAGTGAATAGTTTTAAAAGTGGTGTATTTTTATGAAAAAACTGCTTGCATAAGTGATTTAAAAAAATAGATTTTTTTGCTATCAGAAAAGAAAAAAGTAGCCGTTGCATCAGAACTTTGAATGGACTAAAATATTATGATGTCGGATTTTCACTTTCTTTTCTAGTTTACGAGATCTAAGCGGGACGGTCAGATATTTCACACAAAAATAAAAGCGTCTTTTCCCCTTTCGGAGACAGCTAAAAACAACAAAGCTTATATTTAGTGTAATTTGTATCACTTAGTTAGGATTAGTAATGTATCGAGTAATAGATCTATAGGCCTACTAACAATAATAAATTTGTGAGATTAGAAATATTTTTACCAATTGTTTTTTTTTTTTCGCACAATACTCTATTATCCATCCTATCATATCACTCCTATCGCCAGTTGGAAAAGGTGGAGGGGGGGGGGAGAAAGGAGTATTTGTGTGTGTATATATATATATATCCAGTGCGGTCTGCACTTGGTGACACCCGTTAGGGGGTGACACCCAAGTAAAAAAATGCACTGACAATTATAAAAAAAAATAAAAATAAACGGCAGTGGGTAATTATTCAAACATGTTATTCACAACAAATAGATCTATCTACTTATTTTAAAATTTCGGCTAAACATATATTTTTTTTTTTAATGAAATTCTATCTAAAGGTTTTAAATGCTATATCATACTTAATATATCTTGGAAAACGCGAAACCTTACTTCTAGATGTATATCAGCTGCATGTATGTATAGGAACACTGCTTTGATTAAAAAAAAATAAATGTTTGAATTGAATCTATTGAATTTTTAGCTAGCATCGTAATATCAGGCTGCCAGCAAATAGTCACTGTTTAACAATTGGCGACATTCTTCAGGCATAAAATATTATTGAAATTATGTAACCTAATTTAAGAAAATTTTGTAAAATTGGAAAGTAAATAAGTGGCCATTGAAATTTGTGAAAAGGATGATTGTATTTAATTTTTTTCTCTAGCCGAGATGAAGGAAATGTTACAATTTGTCAGTCGAATGATATATTTGAATATTTTAGGGTTTTTCTTGGCTAGTGTCACGAGTGGTTCTGATGCTTCCTAGTGTGGACGATCTAGTCACATAATAGCACAAAAAAACTTTATTCTTTTATTGTCGACTATTGAAAAGAAATTTAGTCCGATATTAGAATATTAAACGACGTATGAAAAATTCATCTGGATTGGAAAAATTGGACAACATCCGGCTACAAATACATTGGACAAGGAAGTCGTGGCTTTGATTGATGCAAAGAAGAAAAACAATGAAAGGAGATATGCACAGACTGTTTCTATAAAAGCAGAATATTTGACATTTTGTGACCATATTATCAACGAGTCTTTATTAAATAAAAAATTTCAATGAGATAATGGAAATGTTATGTAGTAAAAGCCGTAGCTGAAAGTACATTTGTCATGTTAAAAAGTTGATAAATGTTTTAGCAAACGACGTAAAAGACATTAGAGTCAGAATGATTTTAAGCACTTTTGTATTTTGTTTGACTAGGGACTAATTTAATGAGGCTTGAAGGTGTTAGGTACTAGTTTAGAGAGTATGTTAGTTTTGTTTGACAAATATATTGTGTATTTTCCTTAGCGACGGTAAAAGTAGTGACGTAGTAAGACAGACGAATAGGCGAACAAGAAGAGCAATATGGCGATATAGTAGAAGAAGGTTGTTTCGGATAGTTAGAAAAGTAGCGAAGTTTATGAAGACTAGACGGACTTCCCAGTTAAAAATAAATGTGTAATTTGCAACAGTGAAAGTCTTTATCAAGTGTATTATTAACCTGTAATGTTCTGTGGAGTAATTAATGAGATAGAACTGAAGTCAGACAAGATATTAGCCAACAACAAAAGTTTCGTTTCCAATTATTCTACTATGTTAATGTTGACAACATAAAATGTATCTAAAATATCTTGGCATTAACTAGAACACGAACCAACCTGTTGGCGGTATTCAAGACTGGGACATAAGAACAATCTTACAATTTGAGACTTTTTTATTTCGGACCTTTAAGAGTTTTTGTGAATTAAATGCTCGCGCCTATTTGCTGTCTTCACGTAGTTAATCAACTGGGAAAGTACCACCTGTGCTGCGCGTGCCACAGTTTGAAAACCATGATCTTAAAATAGTTTTGAGGAAGGGTGTGAAAAAAAATCGAAATCTAAAAGTGGATGCATCTAGAATAATCTAGCTAGATCTAG